CAAAACTTTCCTATATATTTTCTTCAAAGTGGTCCGGATCAGTTGGACTCCAGMTGCTTTCACCAATTTTTAACCTGACTATTTCAAGATTATTTCTTCATAACTCACTTAACTCAAAGCTGTGACTTCTAACTAATTAACAAGGTTTTATTTTGGCAGGTGAACTTAGAACATAAAATTAATCAAAGCTTTCTGACTCTACRGTCAAATTTGTGCTTGATTTTTCTCTAAAAGATGAGTTTTGAGAGGTTTGTCCTCCACTTGTTCATGTTCCTCACTTTTTTTGAGCACAACTTACTGTAACAATAAGCTGTCAGGCCTGGTAGACAGAAACTGAGTGGAAAAAGCAGAGAATTTTGAAAAAAGAAAAAAATTCAGAAATGAATAACTATTAATCCAAAATATGATAAGAAAGTCTTGCTTATAACAGAGAAGTTCTACAAAAAATCATGTAGTATTTGCTGGTGAAATAATAGAAAATTAAACTGATTTTTATTCTCTCCAGTCGCACCCTGACACCTACTTTAATGCTTGGGACATCTCTGAACCTTTGATAGCTATAGCTTTTAGGAAAATTGGCTTAAATCAACCCAACTATGAAGTTAAAGAGATTTCAATGAACAAACTACATTAAAAACTCTAGATCAGGACGTTCCTGTCATCTTTACTCATTCACAAAGACTTTTACACAGTTGAATAAAAAAATATTGCACATATTCAAACAGTAAATTCTGTGAATGATCCAGCCGAGGTCGCGCTGACCTCCTAATCTTACGCAGAATCATCAGGATAGAAGGAACACCGGCTTATGATTGGGGTGTAATTCAGAGTATCACTAAATGTGTCACCAGGGGCTTCAGGAAGCCGTGTGCCGAAGCAGCCAAAACATATTACCCTAATCGACTAATATGCAAACTATTGGCTGCCCAATTACAGAACTTAATAATGCATAAACGATGCCAGTCCTGTTCCTACAAGTCAAAGAGTTCGCCGTTAATTCTGTCAAAGGCCTGCGTTTAGCGTCAACACGCGCAGCTGCTTCACACACTCCCTGTATTCAACACTGAGAGTTAATGATGAGGATTCTGAACATTCGAATTAACAGGAATTATCCCCCACCCCCTCACATGTAAAGATTTAATTTACTTGGAGTTTAGCAGGTCTGAGTGTTTCTTTGTGCAGGCTGAACTCTGAGTGGTTCCTGCTTAAAAAAGCACAGATAGTAAAACAATTATAATAACAGAAACAAAATTAAACAAAAAGATATATAGAGCATTTTRAGGATGATAGAAGTGCAGCTTGACTTTTGCACTTTTTTTAAATCAACTGTTTCTGTTTGTTGTTTCTGTAAAAKAAAAAAATCAGCCACCTGCTCTTCCTCCTGAAGCCGAACCAGTGGAGTTTCTCCAGTCCAGTGTGTGTGACCCACCCCTGTTCCTCCCCCTGTGGGAACCCAAACACAGGGCAGTGAAAGTGGAGGAGGAGGGGGAAGAGG